ACTTTTTGGTGCGCTATATTATTTCCTATTTTAGAAGGCATTATGGCTATCGATTTTTTTCCTAATTTAGTAGATATACCAGGAACGTTAGTGTACGTATGGTTTTACTGGCATCTAAATCGAAGGCAAAATCTTGAAGTTGATTGGATAATATATTTGCGCAGATCACGGTTTTTCTAATAAACGTTATACCTGCTAATTTTGGAGATTGGTTTCCTCATACGCCATAATTACATACTAACTTTGGAAATTGGTTTCCTCATACGCCATAATCACATGCTAATATTGGAGATTGGTTTCCTCATACGCCATAATTACATACTAATTTCGGAGATAAGGACTAACCGAGATAGATGCAGTTAGAGTTACCTTTTTTTGGTATGAGTTATTCTCGCTGTTTGGTTTAATTAAGCTTTTGTGAATACCAGGAACGTAGTTATGCTTGCATAACGGAGTGTATGGTTAACTGCCATCTAGAATGGTGTAAACAAAATCTTGCATTTGATTGGATAGCGTGATCATAATGATCATATTCACATGTTGTACATAACATATCTTGAACTAAATCAAGTAATGTCCGCTATGCCGATTTTCGCAAAATCTTGTTTTAATAAAAGTTTTATCCGTTTATCGTTATTATTATTATAGGAGTTAAGTTACAGAACCGTTATCGAAGCCACACATGATACTGTTGCATTAATGTCATAATTACTTCGTAGTGCATACTTGGTGGTTTGAAAGGATATGATTGTGAGAAAAAAAATTATATACCAGTACGATCACATGAAATGTGAGAGGGGTGGTTCCGTTCAACTTTTTGGGCGTGGCCTACGTAGCAAATTTTGAAAAAATCCTATTTTAGAAGGGGTAATGATTTTCATTTATCCATTTTCGGAAGGAGTTAAGAATTTTACATACCGTATGACATAATTCCGCATATAGATCACACAAAGCTGACATCACTGATTATTTCGAAATTTATCTCATTATGATGCAACGTTAATGATCAAATTTTTACTCTATTGACAAAATTTAATTTACTAACAGTTATTTCGCTCATTTCACTGACACTCGTTTCGTAAACATAACATTTACCGAAAATCAATTCATCACATTCATTTCACCGACACTTACAGCTGTTTTCATAAATTCTGGGACACCTAAAAATTTTCTTATTTCCCGAAACCTTTTCGATCCTGTTCTAAGAATCACCTAACTTTTCGGAAACCACTTCGCTGTCTCCATAGTGAAGTCTCAAGGCCAGCGAAGTAGTTTTTGAAAAGTTAAGTGATTCTTAGAACAGGATCGAAAAGGTTTAGCAATCGTGATTGCAATCACAATCATTTAATTATAAAAAAAATTAATCGTGTGGGTCACAAAATTATACAAGCCGCAATAATTTAAATTATTTTTTTTAATTTAAATTATGTTTTTTTTTACTTATTGCGGTTTGCAAAATTATGTGAAATTTGAATTAGATCATTAAAAAAAAAGTAATCACTGATTTCCGATTTCTTCAACATTTTTTTGACTTTTAGGCTTTACAAAATTTGCGCATTTATTATTTGTAAAAATTTGATTGAATATTTTAATTCACAACTCTTATTTCTGCAAATATATTACAAAATGATGAGTATGCAACTTTTATTTCCATAAAAATAATAAAATTTTTACAAAATAATAACTGCACAAATTTTGCTAATTTATTGCGGTTTGCAAAATTATGTGAAATTTGATCATTAAAAAAAAAAGTAATCAAATTTTTACAAATAATAAATGCGCAAATTTTGTCAAGTCTAAAAGTCAAAAAAAAATCGGAAATCAGTAATCGGAAATCAGTGATAATTTTGCAAACCGCAATAAAAGTCACGAACAGGATCGCACACTTGTGATTCAATATTTATTTGGAAGCACACCAGCATACAATGCCGGATACTGAACTTTATTAGCCTTTTCAATGTGATATACAGCATACATCAGTGCATTCGATGTATAATTGATTAGCCGGTTGTTTCCCACCTGCATGACGCAGGCCGGCTGTAGACTTGTGTGGATGCAAAATGGCAGGATTCAGTCGGGTAGGGAGGGCCGGGTGCGAATTTGCTTCCTTTCTGGGGCTACCGTGGTTCATCCTAACGTCCGTGCATTTTATACCTAATATTAAATCTTGGTCACGTTGGTTTCATATTGAATGTCCGAATTAGGCAATTGATTAAATCACTTATCTTTTCCCTGTGCCTTCCTTAAATTTGGATGGTGATTGAACCGGTTTCCCTGTGATAGTCGCCGCCCGGGCCTCCCTGTTTAGCTTCCTTTTCGATCTGTTGACTTTGCCGTCGACTTGAAAAAAAATGTTAAAGAAATCTGAAATCAGTAATCAGATATCGTGATCTTCAAATTCACATAACCGCAATAAAAAAAAAAAGTAATCACGATTTCTGATTACTGATTTCCGATTTCTTAAACATTTTTTTGACTTTTAGATTAGACTAAATTTGTGCAGTTATTATTTTGTAAAAATTTTATTATTTTTATGGAAATAAAAGTTGCATACTCATCATTTTGTAATATATTCGCAGAAATAGGAATTGCGAATTAAAATATTCAATCACATTTTTACAAATAATAAATGCGCAAATTTTGTAAAGTCTAAAAGTCAAAAAAAATGTTGAAGAAATCGGAAATCAATAATCGGAAATCAGTGATTACTTTTTTAATGATCTTCAAATTTCACATAATTTTGCAAACTGCAATAAACGATAATTTTTTTAATTTTTTTTTTGTTTAATAATTTATTTATTTTATAATTATTTTCAAATATATCGGGAAAAGTGGTAGTGCGTTGAAATGGTTGTAGGAAAATTGTTGCCGGAGGAGTGGTGATATTAGGAAGGATGGTATCGGGGAAGGTTGATGTTGAAAAGGAGGCGTCAGGATAATGTTTAAAAGAATGGTATTTGAAATGAATGGAGTCGGGAAAGGGAAAGGTGGTGTTGGGAAGGGTGGTGCCAGGGAAGAGTGGTGTTTAGAAAGAGGGTATCAGGGAAGGTGGTATCAGGAAAGAATGGTGTTTGAAAAGAGTAGTATCGGAGGAAGGGTAGTGTCAGGAAAGGATTGCCATTAGGGAAGGGATTGTTATCAGATAAGTGGTAGCATAGAAAATAGGATAGTTGTTAGAGAAATGTTTGTCAAGTAAATAGTTGTCAGATAGGCAATTGTGTAGAGGAAGAGGTTGTCAGAGAGTTGGTGAGTGGATTGATCAGGAGAATGATTGTTGAGAATGAATGATATCAAACTATTAAATTTTCAATTTTCTCAAGTTTCAGAATTTTGGCATAGTTTCGGAGTTTCAAAAAATACATATAAATATATTCAGACTCAGACTAGTCTGCAGACTTCGGGCCAGACCCAGACCAGACTCAGACTTGACTAAAAAGTCTGAATATAAAAGTCTGAGTCCAGTCTAAAAATCAGACCAGACTCAGACTTGACTAAAGTCTGGTTTGAGTCTAGTTTGTAGGAGCACTAGTACAAGCTTATTATTATTATAATAGTTTTTTGTTATATTTATAAAAAATACTTTAAACTATATAAATAAGTTATTTGAACAATTGATTTATATTAACAAATTATATAAATATCTCTCTATGAATTTATGAGTTAACAATAGTTAATTTGCAAGTTGATCTAAATTGGTATAACTCAACTTGGATGATTAACCCTTGCAAGTGATTTAAATAAAGCCCAACTAGGTCAAAATACTAGGCTAATTATATTAAAAATCAATCTAATTCAATCTTTAATTAGAAAAAATTAAATAATAATATAATTCAATTAATAATCTGCAAAATCTATAATTGTAATAGAATAAAATATACTTTTTTTATATACATTTTTGCTTATCAATAATAATAAAATATCTAATATTATATTATAGACATTATTTTATAGTGACCCTGTGAATGACCAATCAAAATTGATTACATAATCACACAACTTTATTTAATTTTTTATTAAAAAAAATTACAAAATTATTATACAACAACCATCATTGCATAACAATTGCACAATACATATCATTGTATAACAAAC